AGCCAGATCAAAGAACCATTTCACTTGGAACAAAACTCTAGGGCATCAAGTATTTCAAGGACTACCCCTTTACCTCGTAGCTCATGGAGGCTAAGCAGGTTTACAATCAAGTCATCCTAGAGTCAAGTCGAAGCTAAGACATAAAGGATACAGAGACTAACACTTGCGAGAGACAGGAATTAGGATGCCTCACATAGATATTTCCTAATAATCATCACCCCTCCTAAAGAGGTGTCCATATGAACAAAAACAAAATCAAAATCAAGAAGACCAACAGGTATACCAAAACAAGAACTAGCAGAATATGCAAGATTTAAGCAAGAGCAGTATACAGAATTTGAACAAGAGCAAGAGTCAGAACAAGAACGTTTCCAAGGACAATTCAAAATAGATTCCAAAAACAATGCAAGAGTTAATTTCAGACAAGTATCAACATAATGAGGATTTCAATAATCATTATCCATTTCTGGATTTCAGTTTCAAGAACAAGCACAAGCAATCTCAAGAAAGATTCAAGATGGATTTCAAGAGTTTCAAGCAATTCCAAGTATCAAGAATGTAGAGATTGGCAACAATAGAGTTTAACTTTATGACAGTTTGCCAATCTTCACAAAAAGACAACAATTTCAATTGAATAATCACTGCTCTTGATTAACCAATACAGAAAAATGAGCCACATGAAAAGACCATGAAGCTTCAAATGGAAAAAGTGAAACTTCACTATAAGACTTTCAGAAAGATCATGAGCAACGAAATTACCAAGTTATCCAGCTCCTAAAACGCAGCTAGAAAACACAATATTTGCTGAAATAGCCTTGAATCTCTTACAAAGTAGAAGGTTGCTCATCTTTCACTGGTCATGTGACAAACAAAACAAATTCTCCACCAGCTATGCTGTAGAGACTAACAAGATCAATAACAAAAGTCTCTGCAACTCCCCAGATTTCACAATTGTGGCAAAAGAGCACACAAAAATTCTATTCACGTAACAAGCCTAAACAAGTGCGGACAATCAGAAAATGACCAAGTTCAAAATAAGGTCTTAAGAACATAACGGGCAAGATCACTTTCACAACTTCACACAGAGTATGAAGGCAGGAAACAAGAACAATCAGATCACCATCTCAACGAAATGGATGAGAAAATTCAGGCAACATGAATCAGAATCGTTCCTTACATCACCCCATCACTCGTCTCACCACGGTTCTAAAATCCACTGGCTAGCCAAGTCCAAAACAAATCCTAGGTATTCAATAAAACCTAGGCTCGATATCACTCAATCTGCTCTAATGCCACTCAATCTGGAGGTGCTTAATTTAATCCAAAACTCTTAATTTCAACCTAAGCTCTGATACCACTAAATCTGACATCACAAGATCTTAATTTAACCTAAGCTCTGATACCACTAAATCTCCAGATATCTAATTTAACCTAAGCTCTGATACCACTAAATCTCCAGATATCTAATTTAACCT